TCTAATGAGAAACTCTGGACGCCGAACCAACATGATTTTATTTAAATAATTTCTTCTCATCTAGTTTTCGTCCACATAATTTTTTTTTTAACTTCACTTAAAGTCCGTTTTTTTTTAAAGATAATTCCCCAAGTCAAAAATTTTGTAACTATGTTGGCAACAGAAGCCTTTTCTACATACAAAATTTGAAAGCATTGCCAATTTTACATTGTATTGCCAACATAATGTCATTATGACTTTTGTCTTAAAAAAAAAAAAAAAAACTTTACCTAAAGGAGAGAAAACCCCTAGTGCAATTGCTTCTGAAAAATGGAGAGAATACTATAATAAAAAGAAAGACGAAATCCATAAAAAAAAACAAGAAGAAAAATGGAAAATGACAAAAGAAAATAATTCAAAAAAAAAGTTCAGAAAACTCTCAAAAAGAAAAAAATAAAAAATACTCAAAAACTCACCTCATCCAAATCTAAAGTATCCTCTTCATTATGCCAAGAAGATCTTTATAGTGACACAGAGGATGAAGATAAGAAAAACATCGGCTGTGACTTTTGTGAAAAATGCTTTCACAAAAAGTGTACCTACCGAATTTGTTGATACTCCCTAATCCCTATGTGATTGTCGCCTTTCAAAGATTATAAATGTAATCAATGCTAATTTAATTTCATCAAATCTAAACATTTCATATTTTTCGTTAATTTAAAATAGGGGTAGATAGGTAGATACTTAGCCTATTGAAACTTTTTAGTTTTAGCAGTTCCATATTTTTAAATATTCTAATTTTAGTTTTAATAAGAACTGCCCTTTTGTAATAGATTTTTATTTATTTATATTTATATTTTGAGTTGTTTTGTTTTCATACTTTTTTTTAATGTTTTATGTCCTTGTCTTTATGGGTACTAGGTATAGTACCTAATTAAAAGAGAATTTATTATTGTTTTTTTAATCCTATAAGTTTTTTCATAGGTAATAATCCGTTTATTCTCGTTTAAACTTATGTTCCTATTTTTTTTTTATAAGAAACTGCCTTTTAGAAAATAAAATTTCATTTCATACTACTGCTATTTTTTTTTACTACCTAGGTAGGATTTATTATAGCTTTCTATGCTTATTAAAAGGTGGTCGAAAACCAACCCAAAAATGGTCGGAAATTGCGACCAGTGGTCGAGAACTAGCTAAATGGCACTTTTTTCATATTTTTACTAAAATTACACATTTCATCGAACAAAAATTTAAAAAATATATAAAATTTGAATTCGCAAATCTTCAGACTTTTAGAAAATCTTAGTCTTATTAATATATTTTAACTAGACATATTTTTATCGTGTTTTGAAGTGGAAGTTTCAGTTAACTGGTCGAAAACCAGCACACTGACCCTACCTGACAGTTTATCAGAAGGTGAATAAACCGGCCCTAATGGCCTTTTCCACAAACTATTACGATAAGTATTCCCTAAACTGACATTTCTCCATGGAAAACTGGTCAGTCTAGGGAATACTTATCGTTTAAGTCTTCCCGAAAATAACTAGTAGGTTGAAATGGCCATAATGGCCGTTTCCACCAACTATTTTAAGGGAGCCCTAACGATAAGTATTCCCTAATATGACATTTTTACATGGAAAAATGTCAGTTTAGGGCATACCTATCGTTAGGGTTTCCCAAAATAGTTGGTGGAAATGGCCATAAGTGTTATAAGAGATATTACGAAAGTGGATTATTGATTGATCCCATCAAAGAATGTGAACTAAATGTTAGTGAATAAGAGAACTTTGTACCAACGAACAGAAATATGTTTTGAATTTTCAATTGGTAAGATAAATAGAGACATTGAGGTTTTGTTTGTTCCAACCCAGCAGGAAACCGTAATATTATCGTCAGGATTCTGCGCAAAACCTAAAATTTCTGCATAGAAACCGAAATTCGTATACAGAGTGGTTCCGAAACCGTTCTGGGACGTTTTTTTGACGGGTTGGAACAAACCTATCAAATTAGATAATGGTCAAAATCCATACTCGCGTATGCGAATCGCATTTAAACTAGGGGCGCCAAAGTCAGATCTCGCTCCATACTAAAAGTAGCCTCGGGCCGGCACTGTCCAGGAGCATGATACTCTAACAATTTAGGCACTGGAAAGCAACTCATATAGTTCGTTGTACGAAGGTTTGTACTTACGTCATCGATGACGTCATAACTTGGAAAAAAGGGTTTGTCGTAGATTAATTCATAGAGCACGTTCGGAATTATTGTTTTGTAATAAAATATTTAACTTAGAATAGAGTTTGTTGCGTTAAAATGATCTAGTAAGGTTCGAACATCGAAGGACCATAAAATTATTCATAATTGATTGCACAAGGAGTCTTCAAAACGTGTATATTTTCAGGTAAAAGAAGATCGCAAGGCGGCGGTAAAAGAGATACGAAAAGGCGCCTTGCGCTTCATTCGATCGGACAATGCGTCTAAAGAAATTTTGTATTGGGAGCAAGAAAGTTTACAAAATAAGAAGAATTTGTTTTATAAAAATATTTTATGTTCTTTATTTGTTTAAGGTCTTCATTCGTATAGTAGCGTATAGTATGTATTTGTATTTACGTCTCAAAAACTGTTTTTTTTTCGAAAAATATCCACTCTTTTATTGCTTTTATCTGCTAAATTACGAACGCACAGTATGATTTATATTAATAAAACAATATTAATTATATTTTCCACTTATATAGGTACTCATGTTTTGATATTTCAATGCCTTAAAATAATTATTTACAAGATGGTAATAGGCTTAATAACGGGGGTAAGTAACACCCGATAAAGCGCACGTCCATGCAACCGCGGGTGTTACATTTCAAAAACCGAACCCTTGTCGAACGGATTACCGAATGCTAAACAGGATGTTACTTACCTCCATGCTTCCCGATGGGCCCATCCGCCCCTGAGAGTTCAAGTGACTTCGTATAGACTATAACATGGAATTAGAAAATACAGCCGTTTTTTTCCAGGTATTTTGGCACCAAAAAATGGTGGTATAGGCAATAATGCTTTACTTGTATTTGGTGCCAAACACCTGCCAAAAACTTAACTTGGCTTCACTTTAGTTTCATAGCAGAATGGCGCGTTCCTATTCCTTATATCCGTAGGACAGCGCTTTCCCTGCTCTAAAGGCTCGCTTTCCTCGGATGCGCGACGGAGACGGAACGCAAGCGTGACGGAGTCATAGCGCTTCCAGACGTAACGCGCTAGGAAGCTAAATGCTTTCCTCGAAGGCAACGCAGCGTGGGCGGTTCGGCAATCCGTGTGTGAAAATAGGCTATTTTTTATTTCAATAGACATATATGAATAGATAAATTATGCAACACAATACTGTCACACTAAAATCAATCAACAACTCACTTTGCTCTTCTGTAAAACTCGATATTTTTAATTTTATAATATTCCGTCCGTGTTGCACTCCGTCGAAGTTGCCTGTCGACCGACCGGTGGCGTGATTCCGCTAGCGTCAAAAAAACTGCGCCCCGCCGCCGTCGCGCCACCGCTGCTTAGAAAAGCACATCTTTATATTTTCAATGGCGACAACGTCTGCGGCACCCGTTCCGTCTCCGTCCCGCATCCGAAGAAAGCGAGCCTTAAGAGTCTACCCAGTTGATTTAAAAATGTATGCAAATCACCAACTTATGGGGGAGCTGTTCTACCTATAGTTTCTCCAGACGCGCCTCAATACCACTAAACACAGTCGTACAAAGCCCGCTGCAAAGTCTAGACGCTTCATCATCAGTTATCCTGTCTGAACATATCATACCAGGGCCGCTCCATCGTCGCAACGCTACCATCTCATAGAAACAGCAACATCAACATAATATAAGCCGTCATTATCAAGTTGAAGTTGGTTATTAGAATGTCCATTTTTATTTTAAACTTGTATTTTTAAATAAAGTAGTGTTTTTTTAAAAAGTTTTCTTCAGAGTTTTTCAGATAACATACTTACAGGAAAAATTGAAAAATTACCAATCAATAAATTCAATTTATTTATTAAAACTATAACAATTGGATGTCGAATGTTCAATGATAAAATATTTTGTCTTGTTTCAAATGTCCGTTATGAGCCAGGGATAAATTCTTGCCTTCGATGGTTGGTCAAGCATCATCGTCGAATATTTCAATAAAGGAATCAGCGTCTTCTTGAAGCGAGATAAAGTTTACACAAATTATAGACGGCTGTGGATTTGCGATTTCTTCTTTTTTAAATTCAACTAGTTCAGTCGAATGTTGTTTTCTCAAATGCACCTCTAAACGATATTTCCGACTAAGTTTTTTATGACAAATATGACACTCCACTTCATTTTCGGAATGTGTCTGCAAATGCTGACTTAAATATTTTTTCAGTTTGAATTTCTTATCGCAAATGTCGCACGGAAAATCATACATATCTGTGTGTGTCGTTGAATGAATTTTTAAATCTCGGTTTAGTCTAAATTTCTTGTGACAAATATCGCAGTCGAAACGATATTTGTTTGAATGTTTTAATAAATGTTTGTCTAAGTCGTTTTTTCGTCGAAATTTTTCCTGACAAATATCACATTCAAAATCAAATATAACTGAATGTCTGGCTGAATGAACTTTTAAATCTTGTTTCCGTTTGAATTTTTTCTGACAAACATCGCATGTGAAATCGTATTTGTCTGAATGTGTTTCCAATAAATGTTTTTTCAAATATTCTTTCTGTTTGAATTTTTTTTGACAAACATTACATGTGAATTCATAATTGTCTAAATGTGTTACCAAATAATGTTTTCTCAAATATTTTTCTCGCTTAAATTTTTTTTGACAAATATCACATTTATTACGATTTAATTGATTTGAATGATGCAACAAGTGCCTTTTGAAATTTCTTTCTAGTTTGAATGTTGAGGGGCAAGTATCGCATTTGAATGGGCGTTTATGGCAATTTATTTCTGGTTCAATGAAATCTTCGACTTTAATGAATGAGAATTGATTCTCATTTATGAAGATTTCACTAGTAGAATCTAGTAATGTTGGTTTGATGTTAGTTTCTTGCTCAGTATCATCGGACGAGCCGTATTGCACTGAAGTTCTGAAAAGACAAATAATTTATGTATTCAATAATTTATCTTTGTCTAGCATTGGCACACATACAAAGCAAAGTTTTCTACTTATATACATTAGTGAATTTGCAAAAAGATCAAGCATTCATAATGGAAGTACAAAATAAATATATTTTAGAAGTATGTATTTAGAACAAATACTTAAAATAGTGGTTTAGATTTTCATTATTCTATTTGGGTTTAAATTTGATTTTGATATACAGTCATATTAAATTTCTTACACGATTAAATCTCCAAGGTCGTCTTCTATTTTAATATCAATTGCTTCGTTTAGGAAATATTGAGAAGTAGCGTCCAATAGAAAAGCATCTTGCACATCCACTTCTTCTTTGATATCCATTGCCGAACTCTAAATGTTTTCAAAACCTACGAAAAATATATAGTTGTTCATATTTCAGATAATAAGCTCTCAAATAAGCTACCAAGTAATTGAGTCAAAGGTTTTGAATGTAAAAATATTCCAAAGAAATGTAAATATCCGAGAAGAATTGATAGGTAAATGGTAACGTTTCAATCGATTCCCAAATCAATTCAGAAATTAAGTAAGTGTACTAGTACTTATAAAAAAACAGACACCCATTTAAAAAAAAAACTTAGATGCTCAACCTACTTATTCTTAAGCAGGTTTGATAATCGCAATATCATTTTACATCATCAATTTCTTTGGGCCCTTTCACTAAAATTTAAATACGCAATTTAAGTATAATATCCCAAGGGAGGGACTTTTTTAGGCATATAAGTACCCAAAAAAAAAAAATGTTCTACAAGATTAAATAAGTTTTTTACACTTAAAACTAGCCCAATTCAAAATGATTTAAATTAAAACGCGCCGATTGATGACGTCACATGAATATTTTTCATTTGGCTCATGTTGTTGCTGCAAGGAGCTGACTGTCTCGGCTGTGTCACCCTCTGTAAAACTCATACGTAAAGGTTCGAATGCTCTGTCGTCGGTTGTGACTAAATGTAGTGCGACGTAAAAAAATAAATAAAACTAAACATAAAAAATTGATTTAAATTGTGATTGAGCATATTTTCAAAAAAAATGTTATAAAATCTTGAATCCATAACTAATTAATTTAACTACTTTTCATGGTATTTTGCCAACATTTCAGAATTGAATCTATTACAAATTTTCAATGTTGACAATTAATTAGTGGCAACACGGTCAAATAATCAAGACTATTAAATCACTATCAAACGATTGAGAGTGAAAAAAGTCAAAAATTTTAATTTGGGGAGGCTAAGTCTACAGAGGTGCCTCGAGCCTAGTTCGAGTTTGCCAATCGCTACCTCCTAGTTGCGGCCCCGAAACCAATCGTTTCTGAAAATTTTTAATGTTCATGATTTTCAATTTTGAATTCAGAGCTTTTTTGGCAAGCAGATAGGTACTCTTCCTCACGGCACGGCAATTTGGCAATCTCATGACCTGTCCAACGAAATTCGAAATGGATGTTCAGGTCAAGCCATTGGCCAAGCACTGGGTACATTGAGGCGGTCCCAGCGGCTAAACTCAGCCATTCAGCAGGGACTTTATTCTCGAAAAAAAAAGGAACAGCGTACTCATAAGAACGATTGCTCTGTCATTGTCAGTATTATGTCATTGTCAGTATTTCGAGAATAAAGTTCCTGCTGAGTGGCTGAGCCTAGCCGCTGGGACCGCCTGAATGTACCCACTGTGTTGTTTATTCTGTCACATTCTGGACAAACGTCCAGATTTGAATTATTGGATTTTTGTGCGTTTAGGTATTGTGTTAATTCAGTTCCTGCTATTTTAAATCATCGGCTAAAAAATACGTAGAAACACCAAAGACTATAAAATTCACTTCGAAAGCAACAAGAGCCAGAACAGAAATGCTCTCTTCTCTCTTTATGTTATGAACGTCACCGGCTTGTCACCACAATATTTGACCCATGATTTGACCTTGACCTGATCGGCCATATAAAATCACGTGATTGAGGGTCGGTTTCCCAATAGCGAGTCACCTCCGGGTTAATTTTAACTCCAGGGCTGGGATCACGACAAGTACAATTCTACTTTCATGACGTCACCCGCGAACTATTTATCGCCTACAGTACAGGCCATCATGACGGTTGCCAGGCTGACGTCATAAAAGTAGAATTCGACTTGACGTGATCCCAGCCCAGTAAGCGTGTCGAGTTGCTATGTTTACCCCGGAGTTATGCTTAATCCAGGGGTGACTCGCTATTAGTTGTATGTTGTATTCCTTTCAAGAGTTTGAAACACTCGAGCTACTCGCTTCGGTGTTTAGTCGCCCCCGATTTGCAGGGAACAGATGCGTTGTGCACACTTTTCGAAAGGAATAAGCGCGTGAAGCCCCTGAGCTGTTCCGGAGCTCCTCATAGATGTGAAAGAAATACAACTATTGAGAAACCGGCCCTGAGATTGCCTAATCCTAATACCATTGACTTTACTTCGGTTAACAGGGCCTGGGCCAGCTATTTTTGACTAGAACTTAAATAACTCGTACTTACTTGCTTTGAAGATTGTTCTTTTTTGATTTTCTCTCTAGACTATAGTGATAGTGCACCACATTAAAATTAAAAAATACGAAAATACAAAACCAAAACAAAAACAACAATCGAACCTCAATTTTGAATTTTGACATCAAGAGTGCGTTCCGTAACTTGGAGTGCGGTATAAAAAAAATAAAATATAATCTGACTTGCTGTTTGGAACGTGTCGATACATTGTAGGATTTTTGCTCAATACAATATAATTAGAGTACTTTTAAACGAATTTGTGCCTTTTAAATTACACAAGCAGGTGCGAGGGTTTTTTGGCATACGACGTACTGGCTCTAGGGCAGCTTGGTACAATAAAAGTGCAATTATTGCAATGGGTTTGTTTGTTTGTGTTGTTCGTAGCAGCACTTCCTGCTTTGGGGTGTTCGGTGTTCGTTTCGTGAGACGATGATAATGCTGCGCTCAGATTGGTTGATTCGTTTCCGAAACTTGTTTTAAGGTGTTTAAAAAAACGGCACAAGAGGCGTAGTCACCGGTGTTCCGCGGAACACGGGCCCGGTAGCCATGGGCGTCGTTTGGGGGGGGGGCATCTGCCCCCCCTAGAAATTGTCTATTGAACAAAAAAGCAATGAAAGAGAGTTCGTATTCGTATTCGTATCGCTTTTTTTCCATTTTTCCAAAATTTGTTAGGTAATTATTTTAAAGTCTGGCAACGGTGTAAATATACGATTCGCGGGGACAGGCGGACTGTTACGTTACAGGTTGTTGAAGTTGAGTTGAGGTTGTGTTGCTGGTTGTTTGGATTTCCAATTTCCATCAATAATATTTATCTGTAAAAAAGTATCTTGGTGAATCTTTGTTTTAAAATGGTAACTTCTTAGTTGATATAGACTAAAATTCTCAGTGGTTGTGGTTTTAAAATTTAAGGTAAGTAGTTAATATTAAGCTACATCCTCAATCAATCTGGTAGCGAAGTGGCACTTCGGTACGCGTGCTGGGAAATTGATACCCATCCTCAATGCTGTCAATTTTCAGTCTGCTGTGCGTGTAGTACGGGCACGAACCGTGCGTTCGGTATTTTGATCTAAGTTCTCCGAGCATAAATTTATCGTTCATTTATTTAAAAAGTGTACTCGGTGCAGGCTCATTCACGTTCGATTATTAAAACTTCGAGCCCTCTGATACAGCGTTCAACTGCTCTGTGCGCTCGCTGGTGACGTGATTACAGCTCCGCTCTGCTCTTCGAGTAAAATACCGAACGCAAGGATAATCTGAATTATTTTTAACCGAACTGCGCATGACATAAGTCGGCACGCATCGAAAAAGCTTGCAGCTTAGGCTTGCACTTCAGAGTCGGCGTGCATGTTAGCACGGAATTGATTTGAGAATGCCAACGTTAAACAACATTATCCTAGCATGCGTGCCGAAAGTGCCACTTCGCTACCAGATTGATTGAGGATTGAGCCTGTAAGTATAAGCGGAATGTTTTTTTTTTTTTTTTAGGTGAAATTCTAGTTTTTGCTTCCCTCTATAAATTTGGATTGTTCTGTGAGGACTAAAACTCTAAATCTATTTTTTTGTCAAAAAATCGACGGTTTTAGACCGACGGTAAAAATAATTAATAAATATTTACCTTTCAAAAAAAACGTATCAATATTACATTTTTTTTTTTTCAGGTAATGGATATTAGAATTTTTTTTTCAAAAGTTGGTGACCCTGACTCTGGACAAAAAGATGAGAATTCATCATCACCAGTAAAAAAAAAATTAAACAAACAGATTTACAGTCTGAGCCATCACCTGGAAGTAGTGGAACTTCTCACCGAACACCTTCTTTTAACTCATTTGATCTGGGTTTATACTTAAACAGTCAATCATTAACCGACGATGTTAAATACAAACTTTTAAAATATCCTTATGTTCCGGGTACCCAATACAATTTTAAAAATGATGTTGCACCGAATTCAAAACGATGTTTTAAAATTTCGTGGCTTAGCGACTACGATTGGATGGTGTACTCTTCAAAACTTAAAGGGGCCTTATGTAAATTTTGTGTTCTTTTTAAGCCTATTGTTAAAAGAGTGATATTAGGCGCCTTTATAGTTAAGGAGTTTTCGAACTACAAAAAACTTCATGAAAGTGCCAAGTCCCATCAAAGTTCTGAATGGCATAAACAATCACTGTGTAGTGCAACTCAATTTACAAAAATCATCTCTGGTGAAAAAGCAAATGAACAAATTAACACGCATGAGCGAGAGCTTATAGAAGAAAATAGAAAGAAATTGAAACCAATTATTTCAACCATTCTTTTTTGTGGTACTCACGATATTGGATTAAGAGGTAAACAATCACAGGATGGAAACTTTAACGATTGTTAAAACTAAGAGTTGAAAGTGGTGATGTGGACATTGATAATCATCTAAAAACTTGCCACACCAAACAAAAATATACCTCAGTACAAACTCAAAATAATCTAATTGAAATTTGTGGAGATATCATTCGAAAGAGAATAATTTCCGAAGCAAATGATTCTGAAGCTCTTTCTTTATTAGCTGACGAGACCGCAGATATTTCCGGTCATGAGCAGTTGTCACTAGGGCTAAGATTCGTCGATAAACAGAACAATATTCGGGAAGAGTTTCTCGGATTTGAAAAATTGATTGCTATGGATGCGAAAACGATAGCTAGTACTATAATAGATTTCATGAGAAAACATGGTGCGAATTTAGAGAAGCTTGTCGGTCTTGGGTTTGATGGGTGTTCCACGATGGCCGGAAAAGATAACGGGGTACTAAAGCTTATAAGAGATGAATACCCTTTGGCGACATATTTCCATTGCAGCTCCCATAGACTT